GCGACGCCTTCGAGCTGGAACGACGCGCCATCTTCAGCAAGGTAATGAACTATGGGCTGGAAACTATATTTTCAATGATATCCTGGCTCACATCATTCAGACTTGGATCTACCTCGCCCATCGCTCCCAGCTCACCAAGGCCGGAGCCTATCAGTCCTTCGACATCGCGGGCTTCCCCGTCTTCTTGATCCGCGGCAAAGATGACAAGATCCGGGCGTTCCACAATGTTTGCCGCCATCGTGCATACACAATCACCCGCAAAGAATCTGGGGCATCAACCGTACTTGGATGTCGATATCATGGCTGGAGCTACGATACTCGCGGGCACTTGGTCAAGGCACCACAGTTTGACGACGTGCCTGGATTTGATAAGTCGCAGAACGGACTCTTTGAGATCCACGCGCATACTACCGAGCACGGCTGGGTCTTTGTTAACCTCGATTCTGGAGAGCCGAGTCCATTTAACAGTTCTACAGCGTTATCGTTGAGAAAGTTTGCAAACGCTGCTGGATTGTCCTCCCGAGACACGTGGGTTACCGGACAGACCTTGCCGGGGACCTTTAATTGGAAACTGGGCCGTGAGTTATACATAGTACACTACTGATAAATCCAGCTAACACAACTCCGTCAAAGTGAGCCCTCGTCACAATGAGATTTTGAAAACCAAATTGGAGGAACGAGCATCTGAGCTATTGGCGCCTTCCATGGTCACCAGGGCTGCCAGAATTATCTCACAAAAGCGCGGCTCGCAAGAGTGCTCTCTCTCTCCCGGTACTCTGATTTATTCCTTTGAAAACGCAAGGATATGGCTTTCCTTGACGTTCCTTCCGTCATCCGCCACAAGCACAAATGTTCGCTATGACTTATTCAAGTCCTCAGACTGCAATGCAGCGGAATTCTCGAAGGGTCTGGAAGATACAGTGCGGGATCTCACACAGCAGATCGAGTCTGAATTTCAGTCCCTCGCTGAGATACCCGGGTATGTTCATAACTATAGCCTGGCTCCTTCTGCTATGATCTGACAGTACGGGCCTTGATATAGGTCTACAAATCAACTTTCCGAAGACATCGACTGGAACACTACAGGTATTATTGACAAATCCTGCGGCGTCGATATAGCTAAGTCATTCCTTACTAAATGCCGTCCAGGTACTCCACGCCTTGTTCTGGATCGAATCCAAGAACACGCAAAGCTGGAGAAAAAGCGAGGAGCCCAAATATCTCCTGCGATGCGTCAGCCTAAGGCGAGCTCGCTTTTCCAGAAAGCTGAACAAGGTAAGTCATTTACATTCTTAAACAATTATGTTATACATATGTTGGCTGACGACTGGCTCAGTGTGCAAGGAGTTGGACTGTATCGGCGGTGGATCACAGAATGCAGCGCTTCCCTCAGGTAGCCTTGCATGGTAGATTGAGTCTTGAAGTGGAGAAAGTTGAAATTAGAATGTCGTTCGTTGTTTGTTGCAGTTAATTGTGGGCGGGTACATTCCTATACACTTTGGCGACATATATCTCCTGTCAACCCATTCTCCTAAATTCCTTCTGCTGAAACGGATAAACGCCAAATGTTACAAGCTTTGTACACAGCCTCGTACACACAAGGCTGGCATTGAATAATTCAGATCTAGCAAAACAACCCAGTGTCAATTTTCCCGTCGCTAGGCCTCCTGTCCCTCAGCCGCATCGTAGCGAACATAGCTCCCAATTCATAATAAGCGTTGTTGCGACCTGATTGGCTGATTATTGCTGCGCAGGGGCTGCGACAGACTTTCAAATCACATTAAATGACATTTGAGGGTTCAGGGAAGCAATGGCTACTAGCGCCTATAATTGCAAGGAGAGTGAAATTCGATGTGCTTGTCCCTGCGCTGGTCTACCCGCGCCTGTCTTCCCGTCCCGGTCCTTTTACGAAGTGATCTACGGTAGCACCTGCGCTTGCGGGGTTGGTGAAAATCACGGTTACAGTGCGTCACTAAGTGAGGAGAAAAGGAATAATCTCGTAGTACTCAAGAGTCCTGCTCGGCACTTCCGTGGTAGTCATCTAGTGATGCAGCCGGGCCATCTACATACTCCTATATAGGCTAGCAGCGCCCGACTATCACGAGAAGGTCGTGATACTAGTTACTTCATCAGACCATCAAGGTTTATCCCATGTTTCAAATGTTTTTTAGTCTCTAATCTACTGCAGTCGCATGTTCGGGGATAAATGATGTCAAATTTGTTTCGGAATAGAGACGGTGGTTGCCATTGACGCCGTACCATGGGCCACATATATCAACTATGATCGCATTTGATGAAAGGATGTGCATGGCAATGGCGAGCCGGTAGAGTTCCTGAGCGAACTTAAATCATTGGGATCCTGGTGTGCTGGGTCGGATCGACGCCTGTTGACCAACGAGATCCTCCTCCGCCAAACAGCTCCGTTTATTGGTGGCGGGTTGATGTCATCGCCACGCGGTCGAGCGCAGTGAACATTTCGCCCTTCGTCGTAGAGGGCCAGGTTGTTACTTTCTGTCAATTCTTGTAGTTTTGATTGTATTATTGGAGATCAAGTGCGGAAACGCTATGGACAGCCATTTTTGCGGAAGTGTTGGTGTTTTTGGCCCCGAAGTTTTCCAGAAAGGGAAAGCCATGCACCAGACCAACCGATTTGAGCAAGTGCTCTCCTAGCTAATAAGGAATGAGGTTTCTCCGTCCGAATTATTCTGAGCGATAGCGAAGATTGCAATACCAAGGGCCACATGGCATGACTTTCCCGAAGGAGCCGGATCCTCCTCGTGTATCTGCCTGCTCATCCGAGTGGAGGGATAGTTAAATGAGTTACAAAACTATACCCGCTGCGGTAATATCCCAAACAAGGAAGCCATTACTTGAGAGTTTATTTCTGTATGAGACCAGTGCCATGGTTCGGACTGGAGCATTTGACACTATTGCTCTCAGTTGGTGCACCAGCGCTGAACAAAAATGTACATGTACAAGTGTTTTCGCCCCCGATTCTATGTTTTTGGCCCCTTCATGTCTTCTTATTCCACGCGTATGCGGTGGCCAACACCTACCCATTATCCGCACTTTGGCCCCCTCGCACGCTAATGTAGTCCACCAACAAGCTTAAGTGTTACCGGTCAAAATAGGCGTCTGCAGTCGGGCGCAGCAGGAAGCTAGATTGCCCTGGCGCGTTTCAGCACGTTGCCTGCAAATATCATACCTACTGTACCAGTCTGGGAATGATTTATAATTCCAATCCCGGTCTCGAGCTAACCAGGCCTTGCACTGGTTTTCGTTTGGGAGCCTGGCCATTTCGGGGAATCATTCGTTAGGCCACTCTCATGTTTCTCTTCTTTCTTATTCGCTCTTTCGTAGACGTCCATCCCGTCTTCCCATCTTATCCCTGCATAGGGCGCCCTACATGATTTTCGAATGACTTTATTACATTGCTTACTTGTGACATGGGACGAACCATTTTCTCGCCCCTCGAAAACTGGGGTGGCCAGATGAGGAGAGTGGATTAGTGGATAATTAGTGTGGATAACACAGAAATCCTACATTGTGCTGGGATGGCGAAAGCTGCGCGGCGAACTCGGTGTTTCTGCCACGAGGCAAAGAAATAATGTAAAACACGCTGCTTTTCAGGGATTCGCTTATTAGGATGGCTGAAGGAATTACTTAGGTAATCAAAAACAATAGTTACAGGAGGGAAGGTCGTGCTGGGGGATAAGTCTCGCCATTGTCGCCCCATCCTGCGAAGGATTCTGCCTCGCTGCTTCTGGAAGGAAGAGGGCGTTTCGGCGTTACGCCGGCACGGTCGCCCATCATTACATAGGCTAGTAGTTAGGAGACGTGTTTAACTCGCCGTCGGACACGGCCTGCGGAGATTCCCACTGAGGATATAAGTATGCCCATCGCTCTGGAGGGTTGTTTCATTGTCTAGGAGGATTGGGTTACACGGCAGACTGAAGTGGCAAACGATAAGCAATGAGAGCAGCAGGAGATGTGCTCAGGATGATCTGCTGCGCGGATCGACTGAATGTGTATTACCCGCAACGAAATAACCATAATCGCATCCCCTAAGCACTAAGCAGGCCTGAGGGCTCCGTGGGGCGCTGCTACCCCTGTACGGATCCCTGTACGGGGCATACTCAGGAAGAAGGGTAAGGCATCCTCGTGGCGCAGTTGGTGCTCTTCCCGTATTTATTTTGGTGTTGTCGGGCCCACTTGGCTCGCGGATCTTTCCCGCTGACAGTTAGTTGGGCTGGCTCTCTGAATAATTATAGCGCTCCATTCTGGCTGTGCCAGTCCGGATACGAGCACAGCACAAAGCTTGCTGGTCGCGGGCTCGAAACTACGCACTGTGGCGGCGGCTTATACCCTGCGAATGGCGAGAGGAGTGACTGGTTCGCCTGAAGTGGAATGTTGGGGCCAGTCTTGTTGCAGGAAAATATTAAAACTGAAAAAAGAAATCCCGTAACTTTTGGCCCCTCTGAATCGGATCGTTGGATCCCCTGGCCAGTCCCCTGCAGCCTTGCAGGCGACGGGTGGAGCCACTAAGCGTGCCAAACCCGCCTCTGTATAGTACACGAGGTCGAGCAGTTCGCGACAGATCGATAGATAGCTCTTTGTACGTATCGGCGCAGTCACCGGCCCCAAGGAGCCCTGCTGCCCTAAATATTATTCTTCCGTCCTGGATCTTCCTTTTCTTTCCTTTCCCATCAACTGTTCTTTCTTTGTTCGTTGCAACCTTTAGTTCAAGAAACGGGTCTCGTGCGCCTTGTGCCCTAACTGCAACTACGACTACTACCTCCCCCTCTCTTTGTCCGAAGGAAGGAAACAAAGAAGTGTCCACCACTCGGGCTCCCCGATTGACACGTAAGTTCGCTGCCGATTCCTGCTGCGTTTCGAGCAGAGCCTAGTGATCTCCCCCGTGCGTCTGCGAATGGAGACTGACATCCAACTCAAAGCAGCGTAGAATGCAACTCTAAGAGAGGAGTACTGTTACAATCATCATGGTTTCTCCTCTTCCCATTCCGCAGATTCGCGCGCGGAAGGATTCGGCTGCAGAGCGCAAAGCCATGCGTCGTCCACCGCCGCTCAAGCTGCATGAGAGCAACCTGAGGAACATGAAGGCACCAGTCCAACTGGACGAACCCGATATCAGAAGCCTCGAGGTGACGCCTATGCCCTCTCGCTTGCACACTTCACAGCCCGACGCAGATGAGAGCGATTCTGATACCGGCGAGATCCCAATCACCCTCGCTCCGAGTCTGAACATCTCGCCGCCTAGACCGTTGCGCAATTACAGCCAACTGGACTCGAACTCGTCTGATTCGGAGGACATCTCCCCCATCACAGCACAACCTCGACCGTCGGTGTCCTCAGAAATGAGACTGGCTCGCTTTTTCCCGGAGCTCAGTTCGCATTTCCAGGTCGTCGCACCCTTGGACCGAGACGGAAGCATGAAGAAACCCGTCACCCCTACGCTGACCGGGAGGAACCTGGAAGAGCGAGCACAGAATTTCTACAAACAGTCGATTGACGCCAGTCGGGCTGAAAAAAGGCGCGAGGCAGCCCGGAATCTGACTCTTGACGTGCAAGGGGCCTTGGAGAGCAAGGCCAACCACTCCTCGTCCGGGTCAGAAGAGGTACACGACGACGGCTCATCATGCTACAGCCGGGACAGCAGCTCAGCGACCAGTGTTGACACGGAGTATGAGCATCACGACGATCGGAAGCAACTCCGCCCCCTAAAGTCCGCCGACGCTTACTCAATCATCTCTCCTGTGGCTGCGGGGGTATTCGACGATGCTGCTTCACTCCCTCCGCGCGCCAACTCGGCGACTCCCATGTATCCTCCTCACGTCCCCATCGACATGGCCTGTCCTCCGCGTCACAACTCGGTCACGACGACCAAGATGACCATGGACCACCTGAAGAATAAGCCGCTGCCCCTGGAGCCCCTGATGGAGACCAGCCCGGCTTTCAATTCCCTATCGCCATCACAATACACCGGGTCGCACCGCTCACCGTCGACCCGTTCGCCATCCGTTTACCAAAAGGACACCTATCTGTCACCGGTGCCTCGCCATGCAAACAGCACTCGACACCACCGACATCATCGCCTAGAGGATTCCGCCCCCACTACCCCTCGGGCGTCTCGCAGTCAGCGTGAACACCGGTCCGGCAGCAATCATTCGACTCGCAAGGGCAGCAACGAGACCAGTCGCAAAGGTAGCAGCCAACAGCGCATGCGCCATGTCCCGACTTTATCTCGGGCCACCGAGGAATTGGAGGATACCTTGGTCGGCATGTCGCGAGATAGGAACACGCCCCAGCGGACCCTCCTCATCCTAGACGGGCCGCTCCAGATCAGCCGCAACAACGGCGGCGACCTGGTTGCGACGCGACCGGCGCCCCTGCCTCCGCACTCGGCCAAGGCGCACTCTGCGTCGAAGAGGCCCAAGATTGACCGCAGTTTCTCCCATGAAGCGTCCCGAATGCCCAAGAAGGAGAAACCCAGCAAGTCGACCAAGCGGGGCTCGGACGAGTTGGGCACTAGCGAGACCAGCCGGTCAAGCACTGACAGAGAGAAACTCCGAAAGGACCCACGCCGAGACGATCGATCCAAGAAGGCCGAACCCAAAGACGGTCGGAGATCCAAAAACGCGACTCCAAGGAGAAGACCGAGGAGAAGGCCAAAGAAAAGGCCAAGGTGCAGAAGTCGTTCACGCTGAAGCTGCCGTCATTCAGTCGCAAACCCAGCCAGATGCAGGCGGCAGACCTGCGCCGGATCAGCCTCAGCTCGCGCTCGGAGACCTCGCTCGCCCCACCGGAGGAAGCGGACGTGGACGCTATGATCGCCCTCCGAGGGCGCCAATTATCGGCGTCGCACTCGGATCCCAACCTGAACGAAACCGCCAACCAGGTTGACCTGCGGATGCAACTGCCCCGTCTGCAAGTCAATGATCTCGGCTTCAAAAATCCCTTCGACGACGACAGCCAGCAGTCCAAGGAAATCCCTAGGTCGCATCACTCCGGGTCCGATTCGGACGAGAGTGTGGACCCCATTGACTCAGACCACGTCCTGCAACTCGAGACCCCCATGTCTGAACACGTCTTGCACCTCGAAACCCCCTCCGAGGATGAGAAGATCATCGTCTCATGCGACAAAATGCGCCAGTCTCACGCTCTGGTCTCAACCTTCCAGGCCAGCAGTGTACATTTCCCGGAGCAGGTTTATGAGCTCGCTGCCTGCCCACCGTCGCCCACAGTGGAGGTGTATGAGCTACCCGAGGAAGAGGCTCCAATCCACCTAGTCTTTCCGGTAAAGATGCCAGAGACTGCTCTCGTGGCCATAATGCAAAGCATCGACTCTCTCGACGATTTATTTAATTTTGCGATCGTGAACCGACGGTTCTACGAGGTTTTTAAGCAACGCGAGCTGGCAATGATCAAAAACACTCTCTTCAAAATGTCTCCACCCGCCTGGGAACTCCGCGAAATGAGCCCTCCATGGGACACTGAATGGCAGCTCCTGTTGGACTTGGATTCGCAAGTCCCCGAGTACACCCCGAGCCTGTATCTCCGGAAATATGCCCAAGACATCTACACTCTTGCCCAGCTCAAATCACTCGTCCTGGAACGCTGTTCCCCCTTCCTGCGTCATGATACCGTGCGCGGGCTGGCGGGCGCGGACGTCGTTCGCGCTGAGGAGGTGGACGACGCCTTCTGGCGCATCTGGACATTCTGCCGCATTTTTGGCAGCGGCAAGAACCGCGAAACAGATATCGTCGCCCAGATGGACTGGTTGAAGGGTGGGCAAACCGCCAAGCGCCTCGACTCCACCTCGTCGATGGCCGAACCGTTCGGGATGAACAACGTTCTCTTCGAACCGCCTCAGGGATTCGGTCGCGGAAACATTGGCGGACTATCTCAGAGACAGATGTATGATATGACTGAGATTTGGACGTGTCTCGGCGTTCTGTTGCAGCCTCTCCACGGCAAGTGCATCGAGGCGAGGAAATTCGGCATTTTTGACAACATGGATGTCTCGGAGGGGGACACTGTTAAGGAGGAGACGGTACTCGGTAGGGAGAATCTCCGTATCTTTTGAAAATCGTTGCTAATCTGGATTTACAGAGGAATGGACTGCATACATAACTACCCTCGGCCTTTCCGCCGTCCTGACTCTTGGATCATTGTGTCTGGCTGACAGCAACGCTGCCACCTTCAAAAAAGCCCAGACAATCGGCCTGACCAAGTGGGAAGCGACCGACACCAACACCAGCCGCTCCTCGTTCCTGAAGGAAGCAGTCTCACGCGCGTACGAAAACACGGACCGAGGCGCTTCTGTTCAGTCCCCAACCGACCTCGCCGCGAAGAGGACGTCATCGCTATCGAGCCAGGACTCCAACACTAACCGCGAGAACCGCGAACGTCAGGCGGCGTTTGCTATCGAGCTTCGTATACGCCGCATGCGTGGACAAGATATCCAGCCCGATCACAATCGATCCTTCTCCGACGAACGGCCCATGTCTGTGTACAGCACCGTTCTCAACGATCTTAATGGTACCACCGACCGAGACGCCCCTCCAGTTCCGTCCGTGCCTGCTCTGGTGGTTGATCGCTTCTCCAACACCTCGCATGGCACGAGCTCTACCCCTGGCCCCCAAACCCCCAACCCCCAAACCCCTCCGCCGATGCACACTCCACCAATGCACACTCCGCCGATGCAAAGCCCTCAATCATTCCGCTGTCCTACACCCACTGCTTCATTGGCACCCGCGCCTCTGCGGCCTCAGCCTCAGGTGATGGATCCGGTCGATCGCGCGATCAACATGATCGTCAACGAACTGGGCTTCGCGCAAGAAGACGCCAAGTGGGCTCTGAAGATCACGGACACTGGCGAGGGCATCGATGTTCCTGCCGCCGTGCATATGCTCCAGCGGCAAAAGAAAAAGCATGACCGCAACAATCTTTTCTCCAACCGTAAGCGCAGCAGCCTGCTTACCGATGTCATGAAGCGACAAGGGTCTACGGACTCGGGCTGGCGTTGGGCATGAGCAGGTCATTTTTCTACTTTACCATTTTTCCTAGCGATCTTTTTCGTTTATCTCCGCGTTGTTTTTGCATGCGGAAATTTTTTGGTCCGATTCTCTACTCCCACCTACAGCGCTCACAGCGCTTGCTCGTTTCGTTCGCAGTGCTTCTATATACCCCACCCCATTCTTACTGTCTGCTTGTACGGTCGTTGCAAATGTCTATACGCCCTGCTTTGCGATAGAGTCTTGAAATTTCGATCCCACTCTCCTTCCGATATGTCATGTTTGCATTCTTTTGGCGACTTAATGTTTTTTCCTAGGCTCGGATACGGGAAATATTGTCGAGCTGGACTTGATGTTGTTTTGAATATTTATCAATCACCGTTGCCGCTATTACCGTGGTGTTATATGACGGAAAGAAATACGATATTCCCTTATACAAATTTCTGTTCTTCTGCTTCGCACATACCTTGCATTTACGTAGCTGTAGCTCGAACTTCGTGTCATGTCAGGGTGACGTCCCCCGCGTCGGGTTTACATCCCGGACCAAGCATTGATAAAGTGCAGCCAACTCCCATTTTATCAATGGCAGTAATATCCTGTCGAATTGCTTTTCAATCCAATCTCGTATGCAATCCGCGAGAAGTCCAAACATGGCCTCCGTCATCGTGGGCGGCCTGCACAAGGCCCAAGAAGCCGTTCAACAAGCCACTTCGAAAGAGAAAAAGGTTGCTGACCTCGAGCGAGATACGGCAAATATCCACACTAAGCAGCCCTTGACTACGGACCATGGAGTCCGCGTTGAGAACACTGATCAATGGTTGCGTCCCGTGGATGATCAACATACGGGGCCGTCGTTGTTGGAGGATCAGATTGCTCGTGAGAAGGTAAGTCAACCTTCATCTTTTCGTCAACCTTTATATATCTTCTTTCACTCTACAGCTACGTTTTCCCCTTCTTCGACGATATTCCCAACGTTAATCTCTATACAGATCACCCGATTCGACCACGAACGCATTCCCGAACGAGTTGTGCACGCCCGCGGCACAGGCGCATTCGGCAATTTCAAATTAACCCAGAGCATAGAGGATCTCACGTATGCCGGTGTTCTGACCGACACGTCGAGGAGCACACCTGTGTTCGTACGCTTCTCTACCGTGCAGGGTAGCCGTGGTAGCGCGGACACGGTGCGCGATGTGCGTGGGTTTGCGACGAAGTTCTATACAGATGAAGGGATTTGGGATCTGGTAGGGAATAATATTCCTGTTTTCTTCATTCAGGATGCGATTAAGTTTCCGGATTTTGGTTAGTATTCATTTCTCTGTTTGCCTAAGCACAAACATACCCTTGCTTTCAAGATTGCGAGATTAGTCTTTTATTAGGGGCCCTACTTACTTCTATGTACAGTCCACGCTGTCAAGCCAGAGCCTCACAATGAAGTGCCTCAAGCCCAAACAGCACACAACAACTTCTGGGACTTTGTGTATATGCACCCCGAAGCAACGCACATGTTCATGTGGGCCGTGTCTGATCGCGCCATTCCCCGATCGTTCCGCATGATGCAGGGATTCGGCGTCAACACATTCATACTAGTCAACAAAGCGGGAAAACGACATCTTGTCAAGTTCCACTGGATTCCGCACTTGGGCGTACACTCGTTGGTGTGGGACGAAGCCCTCAAACTCGGTGGACAGGACCCAGACTTCCATCGCAAAGACCTGATGGAAGCAATCAGCAACAAAATGTATCCGAAGTGGGACTTCGCCATCCAGGTCATCCCGGAGGAAAAGCAGGATGATTTTGAATTCGACCCACTGGATGCTACGAAAATCTGGCCGGAGGATATTGTTCCGCTCCGAGTTATCGGAGAGATGGAGCTGAATCGCAATGTGGACGAATTCTTCTCGCAGACGGAGCAAGTCGCCTTTTGTACGAGCCATATCGTGCCAGGCATTGACTTCTCAGATGATCCGCTGCTTCAAGGTCGCAATTTCTCCTACTTTGATACCCAGATTAGTCGGCTGGGGGTCAATTGGGAGGAGTTGCCTATCAACCGACCTGTGTGTCCTGTCCTGAACCACAACCGTGATGGTCAAATGCGACATCGAATCACACAGGGAACGGTGAATTACTGGCCTAACCGATTCAATGCAAACCCGCCAGCAGCCGGGCCAAACGTTTCCCAAAAAGAAGACGGCGGAGGGTTCCACACGGCACCAGCACGGGTGGCCCGGCAGAAGCGACGGGCCGTTAACGCCAAATTCGGGGAGCATTTGAACCAGCCTCAGCTGTTCTACAACTCGCTGTCTGAGCATGAGAAACTACATGTGCGAAAGGCCCTGGGATTTGAGCTGGATCATTGCGATGACCCTACGGTCTATGAGAGGATTGCTGGCCACCGGCTTGCCGAGATCGATCTGAGCCTGGCACAAGCCGTCGCGGAGATAGTTGGTGCCCCACTCCCCGATAAATCTGTGCGGGCGAATCCAGGTCGGCGTGCACCACATCTCTCGCAGACGGAGTTCATGCCTCCCAAGCCGACGATTGCTAGTCGGCGCATCGCGATCTTGATTGGCGATGGATTTGACCCTGTTTCGTTTACCGGTATGCGCGCTGCTATCAAAATGGCTGGTGCATTGCCAGTTATTATCGGGATTAAGCGGTCTCGTATCTACGCGGAGGGAGAATCGCCCTCTCCATCTGCAGGTCGCGGAGGGGTTAGCCCAGATCATCAACTTGACGGTGTTCGCTCAACGCTATTCGATGCAACCTTCATTCCTGGCGGTTCCCACATCAAGACTCTTTCGCAGAATGGACAAATCAAGCACTGGATTGCTGAAACATTCGGGCATATGAAGGCCCTCAGTGCGACGGCAGAGGCAGTTAATCTGGTGAAGGAGAGCCTAGGTGCCGTGTCCGGTCTGAAAGTCGGTTCCACTGAGCAGCCAGTCGACTGGTACGGAGTCGTCACTGCGGTTGGTTCTCAAAAGCCCGATAATTTCAGAGAGACCGTCAATATCGCTCGTGGGGCTACAGATTTTGCGGGATTGTTTTTCTATCAGATTGCACAACACCGCAACTATCAGCGGGAGCTGGATGGGCTGGCTTCGTCGGTTGCATTTTAGGGTATAGCGCCGCTATATGACTGAATGGGATCCATGAATGTGGTAGACAGATAAAGCTGAACACTCAGAAAAAGATGGCGAATGCAGAAAACTGCCGCCCTTGTTTTTCAGCTGGGTATAATTGATGGTTTGAAAGGATAACAAATTGGTCAAACAGGGCAAATCGTCTAGTTAGCGTTCGCGGCTAACACTGACCTCTTTTCTTTCTCAATTCCATTCCTTCTCTGAGCTACGTCACACAGCTCAATGTTCCCACATTCGCATTCCCCTTCTCTCAGCCACCGGTATGTGATACTCCACCGGCCAGCCCGCGGTCTCACAGTCCCATCAGCAAGAGTGTCTGTCTTGCGTTTTCGGATACCATGAGTCCAATGCAGCCTCGCGTCGCCCGTGAACTGCATCATACTCCGCGGCTTTAGATCGACATCAACCGACTTGCCTCCCTTGCGGAAGTGCATGATAGTCGGCGCTCCCAGAGACAGCGCATAGAGCTGGTCATAGGGGCCGTGTGCATCCACATGTGGTGGGATGCCAGCGCCCGGTGGATAGTACTGCAGACAGACCTGATCAGGTGGTCGAGCCTCGGTTGTTGGAATGAGCGACTGGAGCCAGTCTGGAAACGCCTTGTATGGAACTTCTGGGTCTATTCCGAATGTCTTATAGTCGAAGGTGTAGCCGTAGTGGAGTGACAGGCGCCCGGAACGTTCGGGCCATTCTAGCTCATGGAGGAAAATGGAGATCAGGCGTTGCTCATGTTCGGGTTGGATGAAGTCATTCTGCCAGAGAATACCGCGAGGCTCAATAGGCAACTCCTCGAATTTGGCCTGCGCCTCCGTTCCCATGCCCCTGGCTTTGAACGCGGTCGCAGATGGTGCTGCCGGGAAGAAAGAGACGTTTGGTGAGAGGTGCAAAATTGACGTTGTTCTCGGGTCCACCATGAGCGACTTGATTGGCTGTATACACTTCGAAGTATATCTTTGCATTGCCGGTCTTACTTGGGCAAAGGGAAACACTATAGGAAAGAAGCTTGTAGCGAAAAACATATATTTCTTGTTTTTCTATCTAAAGAATTCACGCATGCGAGGCTTTTTCTTGGCATGCTTTGGACATGGGTACATGTTATTACACGAACATATGAGAAGATATTTACGGCTGCAGATTTGTGACAACGGTGTCGTTGTAGGTCGTCAAGTATAAAAACTTCTGATGCCCGAAAGCAGGAAAGGAAGGTTTGCGAAGAGGCCAATCCAGAGAAACACGAATTCCTTTCTGGATTTCTGATGCCGCTGCAGCCACAGTTTCCGGCGTCAACGGGTTCAACATCCCCTGCTCCTCATCAGGACCGAATAACCCCCACGCGTTTCCCCGGAGCCCACTCGATTCGAGAGGGAGTACATCAAAAGCAAGCCATTGGTCTGGATACACGAAGGAAATTTTATTTCACAAGTAACGACCGTAGGTTCCCGTTTATGAAGTGACGGGAAAATGAGGGCAATCTTATTTTATAGGTACCGAGGGAAAACTTGTCCCTTATCAATGAGAAGGATTTATGAACCCCTTCAAGAATCAGAACCACATCCCCGGGTATCTAATTACCCGCAGAGACACTATTACCTTTCGGAAAGACGTGCGGGCCGATGCCGCTCGGTTACGAACTCGGTTATCCCAACATGGAAATACCGAATCGGAATCTATCGAGTCATGTTCCGAAACTGTCGCACCTCGGCTGATTCATTCGTACGGGTCTTAGAATCCAAGACGGAGATTCGGCAAGAGTGTCACTCGAATGTCCATGGAACGAAGTTATTATTTATCACAATGATCGCGCACGTATTTCCCCGCCGAATGCCTAAAATTATAGACACCGCCATCACGACGTGTCCCAGGTAGATCTCAAGCTACTTAGTACAGAAGGTTATACACAGTATTGTTTCGTCTTTGAGCAATGGCACCAGCCGAAGTATCGATTGAGCCCATGGCTCCAGTGACGAAGCTGCCGAGTCTTCAAAACCGCGTTAACGGCATCAAAAAAGTCAACGGCAGTCATCAGCATCGCCTTGATCCCAACTACACTATTCTCGAGCAGCCCATCGGCACTCGGCGACCACTTCGCGTCGTCTGTCTCGGCGCAGGATACTCAGGTCTAATGATGGGCATCATGTTCAATGAGCGCATGAAAGACGCCAATGCAGAACTCGTTCTTTATGAGCGAAACGCCGATTTAGGAGGAACTTGGTATGAGAATAGGTAAGGAAATGAGCATAAATGGCAAATGTGATCTAATCGTACGCACTCGATGCGTTGGTCACAGATACCCGGGGTGTCAGTGCGATATTCCAGCGCATAACTATTCCTACAGCTTCGCTGCCAACCCGGAGTGGCCGAATTATTACGCGACCTCCGAGCAGATTCATTCTTACATGAAGGACGTGGCTAAGAAATACGAGGTGGAGAAATATATCAAGCTTCAGCATTTAGTCGAGTCTGCTATCTGGGATGAAGAAAAGGGAAAGTGGGAGATCCAAGTAAGGAATGGCAGAACCCTATTCAGAGACGAGTGTGATGTTTTCATCAATGCCAGTGGTGTCTTGAAGTATTTCCTCTATGTCTTTTCTTTTCGGACTTGAATGCTAACTGGAGTATTGCAGCAACTGGAAGTGGCCCTCCATTGAGGGACTGAAAAACTTTCGCGGGAAACTCATGCACTCGGCGCAGTGGGATTCTAGCTATGACTTCACCGGAAAACGCGTTGCGTGCATCGGGATTGGATCTTCAGGAATTCAGATTGTGCCTAAGCTTGCGAAAGGTAAATTTGCGCTCCTCCTATCACTAGTTACCAGATAGCTAACTTTGTCAGTCGTCGGAAATATGGATTGTTACGTACGGAGCCAGACGTGGATCAGCCCAGCCCCTGGAATCAATGAGCCGACAGCAAATGATCCAGAAATGGACGAGCATTATAATTTCTCAAAAAGCACTTTGGAACTATTCAAGGATCCCGGGGTCCTTCGTGACTATCGCGTCGCCATGATGAACAGGCGAGCAGAAAACTACAATCGGGTTATTGCTGAATGTGACCTTCAGAAGCAGGCCCAGGATATGTTCCGGAAGTCTATGAACGAGCGCTTGGGAGATAGTGAGAAAGGAAAGCGCGCAGCTGAGCTTCTAATACCGTCGTTCCCAGTTGGATGCCGTCGCCAAACACCGGGCCCTGGGTTCCTAGAAGCATTGATCCAAGACAACATCGAGTTGAGATGGGACGATATCTCGAAAATGACTGAGCGAGGTATCCTAACACGAAGCGGGGTTGAGTTCGAATACGATGTGATTGTTTGCGCGACAGGCTTTGACACTTCATTCAAGCCCGCATTCCCACTGGTGGGCCGAAATGGGGTCAGCATGGCAGAGAAGTGGGAGAAAGATCGCCCCAAGGCATATCTGGGCATGTGCGTGCCGGACTTCCCAAACTACTTCTGTATGTTCCCCTCCCTTTCACCATGGTCAATGTACTGATATATCTTTCAGGCTTCGTGGGACCCAATTCTCCGCTTGCAAACGGATCACTGATTCTCGGAATCCAAGCGACTGCAGCCTACATCTACAAATGGATAGAAAAGATCCAGACAGAGGGGATCCGCAGCTTTGAGGTCGACGATGATGTTAACGAGGAGTATAACCAACACGTGCAGGAGTACCTTAAACGTACGGTGTGGACGCGAGACTGCCGCAGTTGGTACAAGCGTGGAACCATCGACGGCCCAGTTGTTGCCATCTACGGCGGATCCATCTTCCACCTCTTGGAGGCTATGAAGAACCCGCGCTGGGAGGACTTCAGAATGGATCGGACACCAGAAGCTAGCACCAACCGGTTTGCGTACTTGGGTAATGGATCCACCTTGAGAGAGGCCAAGGGAGGTTCTGTAGGTGCTACACAGACACTGGACTTTGACGAGTTCTGGAACCTGTTTGTTCTCCCGAGTGTGCATGATTAGTATGTTTGTTGAGGAAGGTGTATGAATAAGCTCACTTCAATGGCACCTGTTTCTAAATTCTTTGATGTGATGTATGAGACAGCTGTTGACGCTGACGCAAGGAAATATGGGTGATGGGGTTTGCGAATCTACCGAGGAGAACGAATTGTATCAATATAGGCTGTGGAGGAATATCAAAAATAGAACTGCATGATCATATTGTCCTCTAGTATGTAGCTTATAGGATCTAACAAGTTAGCTAAAGGGAGGAAACTATTTAATATGTCTGAATGGCGAACTTTCCAGAGGCGGAAGGCTTCGCCAAAGCCCATTGAATTCCGTCTTCCATGACTTGGTCCCATTGGGTGCAAACCGACAATTTCTTCTCTCCGAATCGTCGAAATCCGTGCGGCACACCCCTGAAGACATTGACATTGGTCGGTACACTTTATGATTGTGTTAGCGAAGGCCAGTAATTGGCTCTGTTCGGGTATTTGCTTACCCATTTTCGGCCAACAGCTTGCCGTATAGCAACCCTTCGTCTCGCAGGGGATCATAGCCCGCAATTCCTAAGGTGGTTGGTGGCAACCACTTCGCTTCTTCAGAAGATACATGCCCGGGATTTAGCCGTTTGTCGGTCGGATCTGGATTTTCCACCTGCAAAAGATCACCAAAGAGTTGCTTTCTGCGCAGATTCAAGATCGGTGCGTTCTCATTCTGACGATACGATGAGATACTGGGATCTTTCAATTGGCGCAATTGAGATTCATAACACTTAGTGTGCACCAGGGATGGTATCATCAGTATCTGGCCACGAATCTCTGGCGTTGGCAAGACCGAGAGCTCTGATCGCAGTGCTGTCTGTGTCAACGAAGCGGCCAGCAATGCACCGGCCGATATCCCACCGACGACGATCTTGTCTCGATCACCGCTTATTCGAATAGTACTGTCACAGACCCAGAGAAAAGCATCTTCGGCATCGTTCCATGCGGTCGGGTACGTATAGTCAGGTGTATGGCGATAATTGACATTGACGACAACAACCTGTGCGTTGATGGCAAGCCGAGAGCAAATCGCATCTTCTGAGCTCAAAGTACCGAAAAGAAACCCACCCCCGTGAAAGTGCATATAAATAGGCAGAATATCGGTGGGTGATCTGGCTGATGGACGATAAGTCCTCGCCTCTAATTTGTAACCATCCCGCGCACGGATTGTGTAATCTTGCATCAACACTCTCTGGGAAAGCTCCTTCATCTCCTTCTGTGCCACTGCTTCTCTACCCTCGTTGCTGGCTCGCTTCAGTTCGGACAAGCCCTGTTCTTTCGCGACTGGCAAAGTGGCCTCTAAACGTAGCCACTCCTCGCTGGGAATACCGTATTCAGAAAAATCGCACATTATGTAGTGAGGTGTTGAATGGTAGAGTCACCGCGTCGTTGCTAAAATGGTTTCCTAGTTAGGCATGTCAGAAGCTGTCGGGGTTGTTCCGTATTTGGAATCACCGGACCAAGTCGTGAAGAACGCACCTCTATTAATGATCAAAGGGGTTCCGGTCGTGTCGGCTCTCGGTACAACTGTTAGTGATTGATAGCATGGCCGGAGTTTTGCCGCGGAGTTTACATTAAAACAATACCCGCCTGTTGGCATAAATACCACGGCCGAAGTGGAAGCCCGAAGCTTAATACGAACCGCCTTATAACGTTGGTATTCTCCCTGGCTAGATCGGCCCTCTATTTCTATTTAATTCCATAATTGAAGTCCTTTATCTCCTTCATATATAGTACAAGTATTCGGAAACGGTGGATGATGCAGGACAGGCTATAGGAAGGCATTGGGATCAGCCCAGCTGTCAATACCTTCCATGAAGTCCTGGTAGTTGGGAATGGTGTCGAAAGCCATCTCGCCCAAGCCATCCCAGAAAGTGAAGTCCATGTTCTGTTGATCCAAAAGATTCTCAGCAACGACGCTCGTCTCACTGGTGACAAAGGGGAAATAGTCAATCCAGTCGACACCACTGTGCAATACTGCCTCTTCGGAGTTAAGGGCACGAGTTGATTGTTCATTCACCAGGTGGCGGTTAGGAAATTCCTCCGGGCTAAGAGATTTGCCGTTCGATCGTAGCCGTTCAAATGTCTGTTCAAATAGTGCGGCAGTCGCCCACATGTTCTTCAACTCCTTGATGGCGAGAATGAGTATCTCTAGATCCGCGCTGGCACCATCCTTGAGACGCTCGCTTCTGGATGCCTGCAGGAGAGCTATAAAACCCATGCCGGTGTACCAACAAGTAATAGGCATCAAAAACCTAGTTTCACTCCTCACAAGCACGTCTTTGAGAATTCGAGCAATGCAGGAACCGGCCAGCGTTGCTGGCGGCAAAGCTTGTGGAAGGGATTGTGGCGACCTAGTCAGGTGAAGCACTACGATTACAGCGAGATAAGGCAGATGTAGTTGGTGTACATCGCGGTTAAAACTGGGCGTATGGCTAGACCCAATGGGCAGCTGTAAATGAGGAGGAAGCGATCGAACCCAGTCAATGAGTTCTTTGTCCAGATCTCCAGTAAACGTGTTCGTAGTCGATGATGAGTTCGCCGACAGCGATAGTCTCTTCGCTATGCGTCCAATGATAGTGCATAGCCGAACCCAGTAAATAAATACTTCGGCTTTGCTCTTATCTTCGAAGTCCGGGAAATCCCGCAGAGATGGCGATGGTATGTTACAGTCGGCGGGATCTATGAGACACGGTTTCCCTTGACATATTGCCGTCAAACGTTCACGGGCCTGTTAAGCTTGTTTAATGCCAATAACGCAATACACAAACTTGATATACACTCACGAAAGCGGTCCACCATATTCGCCGCCGAATACATAGCTCAATATCGTCATGCCTAGCCATTTCGGCAGCGGACTCGCGATAAAACCCAGCCTGTTGAGCATGTCTAATGACAACTGAAGTCCACCACCAGGAAGAGTGTTTGTGCACCACCGACGGTGGCCGAGGTGCCCACCAGTAGAATAGGGAGACGGCTTTCAGAGTGGTGATCAGGTTCTCCTCGTCTTCATCATAGAACAGTCGCCGGGCTCGATCGTAATATACGGCTGGCCCTGCTTGTGGTATGAGGGGTGGACGAACGTGACTCCCTACAATTGCAATTGCATTGTCCAGCAGCGGTGATTCTGCGAGTTCCCTCGACACGGTCGTTCGGTTAATCACTGGACACCAAGTGTAGCAATATTCAAAGTACGTTTCCGTAAAACTTTGGCGCAGATCCGGTTGCAAAACACCAAGGCTACTCGGATCTTTGTCCTTAGATTGTGCCGCTGGGTCGATGGCATCGCGTGTGTTTGCATTATTCCCGGTATTCTCACGGGTAGGTCGGAATTGAAGAGCCACTTGAGCTCGATGTGATTGTTCGGGGAATGATGGTACCCAATTGGCCGACCAAGCATCCAATGATGACGGTCCATTGCTCAGTCGCGTTTCCTGGGAGCCGCTCGTCGCAGGTGCTCGAGTGCTGGCGTGGAAGGTGGCCCACTCCGGCTGCGAGAGGAGCCCCGGGTCAAAGTCAAGAAGACTCGGCTGTGCTTGGTCATGAGGCGCGAGATTTTGACTGGCACGCCTATCTGCACTGTCAGTGACAATGCTAGCACCGTTTTCCGCTACGGTCAAGTGCAGGGAGGCAAGCCTCGTGCGGTAGTCTCTTGGGGACTTGGCAATAGGAGGGAGAGGCGTGTGCGGCACTTCAATCTCAGCAGCCGAGCGGCCTTTGTCGCGCTTAGATGGCCGAGGGCTATATGTCGTCAGTTTCTATAGGCGCTAGACAAGAGTTGGAAATACACTTACCGGCAGTCTTTCCCTGCCGACGCGCAGTGGCTGCAACTGTTTTGGCCATGGTTGCTTCTAGTTTGAAGATCACATCGAATCTGTGATGGAGATTTAGTATCTGGGGTAAAAACAATAATCTCCAATGACATCTAACCTTCTTGGAATGGCACGAGATACACGCGAGTCCGGCGCGTTTGCGCTTTCCTGTGCCCGGCATGGAGAACTGCACCCACTGCGACTCAGCCATCGTTGCGGCAAAGTACCATTCACAGGAGCGAAGCCGGACGGCTAATGATGCTGCCACAGCCGAGGAGATTCAAACGAAGTCGGCAAATTCCATAAACGGATAGCCGGGACCAGAACACGCTAGTCTGGTTTGGTCAGGACCTGTCGGCTACCGAACCCTAACATTTGCCCTCGTTACATAGTGATACGATTGACCACCTCGGCGCCCGGCTTGCTTCAGTAATATCTGGCTAGACCGGAATGAGTCGTCCCCGTCGGTACTGAAGATGCTCTTGGCGTGACCTGGACAATCCGGAACGAGGGCCTGGCGGCGAAGAGTACCGACTACTTCTATTCTCGTATAAAGTTGGAGACTTACGGCGATTAAACGCATTTGAACAAGCCCAGCCCGTTGATAACCTATCGCACCGTGATACCTGGCTCTCAAAAGCACCACGATCTTCCAGTCTCTCTTCCAACAATGGCACCTTCGATCATAACATCAACCGTGGCAGACGGCAAGATTCCTGCAGTTTACACCACCCAAGACGCGAAGGACCTTCCAGAGAGCTTGTTGTCGCATTTTGCTCCCAATATTAATGGAAATCACAGCAAAGATGGTCTCAAAGCCGCAGCCGCCGACCGACTTGAGGAGCACTCAGTCCCATTCAATCCACAGTACGCACTAGAACCTCGCAAACTTCGAATCATCACAATCGGCGCCGGCTTTTCCGGCTTGTTGATTGCCCACAAGTTCCAACATCGTTTCCCAGAACTTCAGGACTTCGTAGACCATACAATCTTCGAAGGTCGAAATGATATTGGGGGAACATGGCTAGTCAACACGTACCCCGGTGTGCAGTGCGATGTACCCTCTCATATTTATGTAAGTTCACGGTCCCGCTGCTGATTCGAATATACGTCTCATCCAACCAGGCCTTCCCGTTTGATCCTAATCCGGATTGGCCTCGCTTCTATTCAAGCGGACCTGCTATCCATGACTACATAAAGAAAACGGCAAAGAAGTGGAACCTTGATCGCGATGTGCAATTAAACACTCGGGTTGTTGGTGCCTACTGGCAGGAACAATCTGGCAAATGGAAGATCACGGTGGAACACGGAGGAATCGAGCGCGATGAGTATTGTGATATCCTTATCTCAGGCCAAGGTAACTTGGTGTAAGTCTTCAATCTATGTCTAAGTTGGGTTGGAGGACTAAAAACTAATACCGGAATAGGAACCCTTCTTGGCCCAAGATTCCCGGGCTTTTCGATTTCAAAGGCCATGTCACACATTCTGCAAGGTGGGACCACGACTACGACTATTCCAACCAGCGGATAGCTGTCATTGGCAATGGATCATCCGGCATTCAAATTGTGCCTCAAATGACCAGGTTACCCGGTACGACGGTGCGCAACTTCATTCGCGGTCCAGCTTGGGTCTACTATCGCGTCCCTCCTTCAAAGCATCTTGGGAGAGACACGGAAGACACAAACCCGGAATTTCTCGAAGAAGAGAAAGAGCGCTTCCGCGATCCCGCCCAGCATCGAGAATACCGCAAAGGCATTATTCACCGTACCAACAAGGCATTCCGTTTGGTAAGATCCCTGAGTTCAATGCTAGTACAGTCTTTGTAGAACTAATATGAAACATGCAGTTCATGAAGGGAGAACCCAATGAGTCTGTTGTGAAACTTGCATCAGCTCAGATGGCTGAGAAACTTAACCACGATCCCGTCTTGTGCGAACAACTCATCCCCAAGTGGGAAATTGGTTGCCGTCGAGTGACTCCAGGGCCTGGCTACCTGGAGTCATTCTCGAAGCCGAATTGCAGTCTCACATCGAGTCCAATTACCAAGATCACCGAGAAGGGTATCGTCACTGCAGACGGGGAGGAGTATGAATGCGATGTTTGTAAGTGAATCTTTTTGTTAATCTTTTTTTTCGTAAATTCTAACCCGGTATCTCAGTGATTTGTGCCACCGGGTTCGATGTCTCCAAGTGCCCCCGATACCCTCTAGTCGGCCAGAACGGTGTTCATCTCGCCGAGAAATGGAAAGACGAACCTAGATCCTATCTATCAGTTGGAACCGACGACTTCCCCAACTATTTCACAATGGCCGGCCCCAACTGCCTCTGCGGTCACGGATCACTCGTCGAGGCACTAAACTGGACAGGCGATTACTTCGTCAAAATGATTAAGAAGATCGCCACAGAAGACATCAAATACATGGTTCCAAAGGCCTCTTCCGTCCACGCATTCGCCAAGTACCAGGATGAAATTCACAAGACATTGGTGTGGTCCGGCTCCTGCCGTAGCTGGTACAAGAGAGGTACCGTGGACGGCAAAGTCACACATCTATTCGCGGGCAGTGCTGTCCTGTTTCGCCGGCTACTCGGCGAGATTCGCGCGGAGCACTATGATATTGCTTACAACTCGGGCAACCCGTTCCGCTTTTTGGGCAACGGTTTCACGGAGTGGGAAATGCAGGAGGATGCCGATCTGGGATGGTATGTGCAGGTTCCTAAACCTGGTCCCGAGGCCTACATCAACGATAAGAGCTGGTTGGCGAAATAGAGGGTTAAATCCTTCAACATAAGTTCTTACTGTCGATATTCGTAGATTCGGACAGTTTGTTTGATTTAGATTGTCTATTGCTTTAATACAAGTCTATATACTTTCCAATTATTTCCGTGGTTCGGCTAATTTTGTACTAGGACGTTTTCCTTAGAGAACATATATTATATATGCCACACCCTTGATAATCACTCACTTGTTACGTCGTCATGTCTTGTGCCTATATGGATCCGAGTCCTAGAATTATAACCGTGATGGCAGCAAGGCTCGAATCTCAAAGAAAACCCCTGACTTCGACACTCGTACCTACGGAAACCGCAAGCTCGGCGATCTCATCACTGCCTCATCTTTGCTTAAACCTGCCCGCAGTTCGCCTCGAGAGGGCTTACCCAAAGGGAATCTTCATACGCGATAAAGGTTGGAAGCTTAAGAGTTCTGCTAAATAGGTTTATATCTAAGTCAGTTTCCCTTCTTCGCCCTTTATCCTATTCATTAGCGAGTGGACGAAAGCCACTGTTTGTTGAGTATATGCTTTGTTATTGTCCGGGAATTGATATGGACAGCAACCTGTACAAGTACGTTTATAAGAACTATGGGTCTACATTGTGCAAATCGGGTTTCTCGTCTAATATGGAACAATCAAGCTATACTTTTGAGACACATCCACCCATTCTGGCGAATAGGCTTTATTGAGGGTGAATCAGATTACCTTTCATTTTTTTTAGAACCCCTGGATTGTCTATAAAACAGAATCGGGACGAGGTACGGCAAAATAATGGGTGAGAGCCTAGTCAGAAGCGGAAGAAGACTCCCTCGGTGTAGTATGTGTCTTGGAATATTGCAATCTCTCGTAAGAAAATATACTAAAAGAGTAACCAGGTTTGCTAACTAAACTTGTCAATTGAAACCTATTATTATGTCTTCCCTAGAATAATGCCCTATTTCCGCTACTCTCACAAAGCATATCGGAATTGCATATTCTGTGTGTCTGTTAGCGTAAGAACGCAATTAAGTATTTAAGCTCCTCACCATCTTGTCTGTCAAGTCATCCTCATATGCGTGTTCAAAGGCCTCTGTGGTTCCCATCCTGTCGCGGCGACGATTCTCCAATCCGCAGAGGACACGGTATATCAAAATAAATGCCGCTGCCACAAGCGCAGTGATAACCACCACGATAAATCCCAAGTTATAGCGAGGCGCGTCCTGCTCTCGGAAAACCTGGGGTCCTGCGAAATTTCCTGATACAAATTATTATTAGTACGTACTTCTGTGTCGAAGGATTGGTAACTCACCAAGGGAGTAGCCAATGTACAGTCCTGAGGAGGCAAGAGATCGTTTGGTATAGCCGGCGTTGTTAGCAAGGAAAAGACCCATTGACACAGCGTACGCGGCACCAGTGGTTGGAAGAGTATAACAGGCAAAAAGGAGTCCTCCAAGCGCTGACCGAGGTAGAAGCCAGAGAAGGAGACTGGAAAATGTCGTGACCAACTGGCAAATAATGATAATATATGCCCGCCAGCCAGGAAATTTGTAAGCCAGGTAAGTCGTGATTAGCATCATGGTACCAGCATAAAAGCCAGTAGGCATCATGAGGAGTAAAGAGTCGAGCGCATTAAAGCCAAAACCATCGATAATGACAGGCTGGAACGTCGAAATTGGCGCATTTGCGAACATACCGGCGAAAGCAAAGAAAAACATAAGCCAGAATTTGATATCTGTCAAAAGCTCAATGCTCTGGCCAAGTTTGAAATGCGTATTTCGCACTCCAGAGTTGTTCGTTCTCAAACGGGATACTGCAATGAAGCGCTCCCTCTCGTTGAAGCCCTTGGCTCGAACAGGGTCGGGTGGCAAGACAAAGTAAATCACGGCACCGCAGATTATAGTGAGGGCTCCAGCAAAAAAGTACATATAGTACCATGGCGAAAGTCTTCCCTTAATGTGTCCAAGGCCGTAGTTTACCAGGGGCGAGAAGATGGACACGTAACCTGTGCATGAATACCAGGCACTGGAAGCTAGTTCGTCAGAGATTAAGCTGGTGGTATATTGATGCAAGAACTCACCCCATTCGCAAAGATTGTTCATCCTTTTTGTACCATCCACCCTGAAACGCTGTGAGCCCAAGCTTTTTGCGGGAAGCAGCAAAGGTTACGTACGACGATCATCATGAACATCGGGCTGATGCCAGCTTCGGTGAAGCCAAGGAAGAACCTCTGCGCATAGAGTCCTCGGTAGCCAGTGCAAGCCGCGGTGAGGGTTAAGGTGATCCCCCAAACTATGATGGCCAGAGAAGCAACGCGCTCAATGGGGAATCTTTGGGCCAGCAGAATAACAGGGTAAACCCCTAGTATAAAGCCGATGTAGAAGAGGGAACTCGCGAGGGAGAAACGATTTCCAATATTCAAACCCAGATCCTCCTTCATTCCAAAAAGAGCCTTCGCAGATCATTAGCTTGTGAAATATCGCAGGTCAGGAGATGATCATACAGCTTGTCCAAGCAAAACCTTGTCGGCGTAAAGAAATGCATAGGTTATACACAAGATAGGCAGCAGCCTTCTATCGATCTTTCTACGCAGCTTTTTCTCTTCCTCTGGAGCCCACTCCTGCTCGCCGTCATATGCAGCGAGAACTTTGATAGCTTCATCGCCGTGGATGGTGTCGAGCTTTTTCAAGGCCCCATCTTCACCACCCGACGTCTGAGAGCTAGAGGCAGCCACGGAAATGTCTTTGCTCACTGAGCCTGGCATAATTAACGTGCCAAGGGAACCCGATTTTGTGTTTAGTGCCCAAAGCAAAGCTCGTGGTGACGGCTGGTGGTCTCTTTTTATTCCTCAAGCATATCGTACTATATGCCTGGGTAGACACTAATACCGAGCTAGTGGACCTTGTGCCACCTGTGGGTATGGTTTAGCTTCTGTGTTACGGACAAATACTGTCATTGTCATGAAGGCATACCATGACAGCCGACGGGATCTCTCTAGGAGGATTGCCGATGGTGTAGCCGGAAAGTATATTTAATTCCATGCAGGTAGCCGTCTACATATAAGCAGGAGACGTCAGTATGTGCCAGCAACTAGCCCCCGCAAATGCGGGGAAGATTGCCCAGCCCCAAAATATGGAATACGGGATTTGAAAGCCGATAATGCGGGGTGTGCTATGGCTATCCGCATTTGGACACACCGATCGGTGATGAGACACCGCCGATGTCGCTTCGGAGTGGAACTGCTCCACAACATGTGCAATTTTCCTTGGCCTCATAAACACAGGCGCGGGTACTGTAACGAGCTTCAGAGCGCTGAAAGCAGATCCTGATTTCGAAGGACCAGCATGGCGACTAGTCGACCACTCGTTGAGATGCCTCCAGGCAAGGAGGTGGTGAGCGTGAAAATGATCAATCCCGTCAACTTCGGGCCAGCTATAATCAAGCGGTTTATGGAACCTCCTGTGCCTGGCGTGGAAAAAAAAGACCTGGGCCCGTTTTGACGTTTCTTTTGGAGCATCCATCAGGTCAAAAGCTGGTATTCGACCTCGGAATTCGAAAAGATTATCAGAACTATGCTCCCATAGTGGCGGATTATATACCCACTACGAATTACGACATCCAAGTATCAAAGAATGTGGTCGACATTTTGGAAGATAACGGCATCGCTGGGAAGAGCATTGACGCGGTTATATGGAGGTATGCCATTGCCGAAGCATAGCCAATACTTGAATAGACAACTGACAATCATTATCAGCCACTGGCATTGGGACCATATAGGAGACCCATCAAGCTTTCCTGGCAGCACAGATTTGATCGTGGGGCAAGGATTCTCGGATGCCATGTTGCCTGGTTATCCTGCCAATCCTAAGTCCCCTATCCGCGAGAGCGATTATACGTAAGTGTTGGTGTCATACCAATCAATATAGGAATTTGGGGGATATCTTAGAGTTCGATCTGACTCACCACAGAGGTCGAACCCTGCGAGAGATTCGATTTGATGGGCCTGATGCCCTGCACATTGGGAAATTTCCTGCGGTCGATTACTTCGGCGATGGATCATTCTATCTCTTAGACAGTCCGGGACATGCAGTCGGTCATTTGTGCGGTCTGGCACGAACGACTCTAGATCCTCCTACTTTCATTCTTATGGGTGGAGACATCTGCCATTATGCAGGTCTTTTTCGTCCGTCGAAATATCTTCCTGTGCCCCCGTCAATTTCGCCACATCCGTATCATCCAGAAAGTGATGTATCCTTTTGCCCCGGCAGTGTCTTTGATGAATTGCAGCAGACTAGAGGAAGAAAGCCCACTGACACGGTGTACGAGATGTGTTTCGGTCATGATATCCCCCTAGCACAACAAACTCGTGACCAATTGCAAGAACTGGACTGCGATGAGAACGTATTTGTTATTATCGCGCATGATGCGACTGTCAGGGACGGTGTGGATCACTTTCCATTGACTCTGAATACTTGGAAGGAGAAAGGATGGGGCCAGAACGTCAGGTGGACTTGGTTTCGGGATCTCGAACCATTTTGGAAGTCGAAAGGCTTATAATATGCTCGCTTCTTATAATTCTGAAAAAGGAGCTAGAAGAGATATCGCATTGTATAGCCAATAAATTCAGTCCTTTATTAGCCACCATCCTTCCAAGACGGTCCTCGGAAGCATTGTCATTGTATAGTTTAGATCGCCTTTGTAATTTCCTCGCCATAGATCTGAAGGTTTATCACCTGATATGTTCGTGGCCTCAGCGCTTCTATTGAAGAGTTTTACTCCTCCACTTTCGATCATACCATTATGATGTTTCATTACAAATCACAAAATAAACCAGTTCAATCTTTTGGCTTCCTAGTGTTCCGGCTGCGATGCCACTATTCGTGCAGTAAGGCAACCCGGGCCTTGATCTTTCCATCGCAAAGATCTTTTAAAACCCTGGGGAAATCCTTCAAGCCAGCCGTCTCAACCTGTGGCTGAAGTATCCGTTTTGAGATCAAGTCGAGTACTTCCTTTAGATCTCTCAATTGCCCGCCGTACGTGAAGATGATGTCCAGTCTCTTCCGAATGCCAATTTTCATGTCAACTGTGTTCTCTTCATCGAAAGTACCAACACACAGAAGCTTTCCTCCCCGGCGAACTGTCAAGAAATTAGCATCCTGAGCGCTAAATTATATTTTTGCGGGTCGCTTACCAATTCTCTGTGCGTCTTCGAAAGTTTGATGTTTACCCACAAAATCCAGGGTAGTGTCGATCTTCCCCTGCAACCCATTCTCGTGGACAAATTCTTGTACCGACTTTCCAGCTGGTACTATATCCTGTCTAGGAACCCCAAATCTTACAGCCTCTTCCAAGCGTTCCTGTCGAATATCAGAAACAATAACCCTAGCCCCGATATGCAACACAATCTGTAATGCATTGAAACCGAGGCCTCCAAGGCCAAATAGAAATATCGTCTCATGCCGCTTAACTTTTGCGCGCCTGGTAATGGCGTGATAGCTTGTTTTGACAGCATCTGTTGCCACAGCTGTGACAGAGGACGGAATTCCTGTCATCAGGGTTAGACCAGTTTGTGCCAAAGTACTATCGGAAACAGACCGTCTGGAACCCGCACTACTGCTCGAATATCTAGCGCAGCATATGGTGCATAAAACCCATCTTGCCCTATGCCCGCGTGATGGGCTTGTTCGCACAGCTGAGCAAGATCTCGCGAGCATTCTGGGCAGTCGTCCGAACCACAGCCAGGGACAGCGATGGTTGCAATCCGATCTCCCTTTTATATTCAATAAGTAAAATCCTACCTCTTGAATTATTGCTCGCGAATCTTACCACTTTAAATCCGGCGTTTTTCACTTGATCACCCACCTTTACAATCTCTCCGCATCCTTCGTGACCCTAAAAGCATGGAGCAACCCACTCAGCATGGTGATTTCAGCATCACAATAAATTAGACTTTACCAGAGTATATTTGTCCTGAAACCAAGGACGTTGCTTCTCATTCGTAAGCAGCGAATGGTCACTATGGCACACTGAGACGCAGCGGTTAGCCTCATTTTCCGAAACAGTCATTTCGGGGCCAAATCCAACGGTCAGATACTCACCTCCAGAAGCAATCATCTTAATCAAGAATCCCCTAGCGGGAGTTGAGGGGACCGGAACTTCCTCCCAGACCTGCGATGACATCAGCGAGTGCTACTCCGGGTATAGATGCGCTAACTCACTGGCTCAGGATTTCCCTTATGTTTCCTCCATGCATACATAGATGACGGGATAGGGTTGCTTGCGGTATTTGTCATAATGTGCAAGTCTATCTGGTACAGATCGGTGAGCCTACGCCTCAACTATGAACCCTTTATATGTGTATATACTAGCGTAGTCTGAATCGGCTTTACTATTAGGGCATGCCATTCGGTAGTATACAGCCGGGTGCCGGGTGTTAATCTATCTTGTACCGAATTATCGTATGCAGCTACGCAGACGTACTGACCTTCCGAGAGCGCACACATCCGCGGGCATTACATACTCGCGACGTGAGCATATGATTATTATACTTCAAACAGGAACTTAGATTGTATCTCATTCCAAAACTAGGCAAGGTGTATGACTGAAGTACTATGTGACCTTGCTACTCACACCCCCTTATGTCTTTGACCCTGTCTCTACTCAGAGTCAGCCACGGAATCTGACTCAATCTTTGTAGATCCTCACTTTATAGTCATCGAGCCATTTATCCTCGATAATCCTCAACTGGGTCGCTTGCTTCTTTATGAAATACTCGTCCTTGGGCTCAGTATAGTCCTCCCTGTCTACGTCCACAAATCCTTCCTTGGCCACAGTCCTTGGGGTAATCATGAGTGAGCGTCCTATTAGATTGATCAGTCATACCACCATTATCTCCAGTTTAAAGAGAAGGCATAGGATGGTTTCAGGTTAGCATACCGTTGATGGTTTTATCGCAGGCAATACGCATCATGGCACCGGCGCAATCAGCCTGTTCGCCAAACTCAATGCCGTGCTCAATCAGCCAGGCCTCGTACTCCTTGGTTCGAATAGCACTTTTGATCCAGCATGGTGCGACATAGTTGATTCTGATTCCTTGCTCCCAGCTGCTTCGACGGGCAGTCTTCATGAAACCACGTAGTCCATATTTGGTAGCTGTGTATTCCCAATTGCCCTAATGCAGCGGTTAGCCATAGCATTGCTTACATGGACAACTACGGGCTCAAGCGATTCGCAGACCGCATACTTACCGGAGAGTCAATATATGCGGTCATGCTTCCAGTTATTATGAAGCATCTGTCTCGGTCTTCAGAGTCTGGCTGGTTCCTGAAGTAATGAACCGCAAGTTTCCAGGTATAGAATGTTCCATCCATGTTGACACGGACTATGTTGAGATCAGGCTTGGTGGGTGGGCCGTTGGGGTCTGTAGCTGTCAGCACCCCATATAGAAGATATACAAAACCAACATTCGAGTTGATCCAGCTCAAAAAGCCGCCAGATAGGGTCCAGGCTCACCATCGAGATTCCACAGACTATCACCCGAGCTTCGTGAGATTCCCGCATTGGCAATGACAACATCAACGCTGTGATGCGGACTTTTGGCTTTGGCCGTATCAAAAAGTGTAATCAGACTGTCCCAGTCTCGAATATCACACTTGACAAATGCGGTCTTTTCACTCTCCGCATTCAATTCCTTAGCGAGGTCGTCTCCGCGTGGGTGAAGATCACCAAATGTGACAAAAGCGCCGGCCGCACTGAAGGCGCGCACCATAGCCTCGCCCATACCATTTGCACCTCCGGTAACGATAATGGATTTGCCTTTGGCGTTGGCTAGATTGGGAATCGTGGTGTGGTCGATTGGACCGGTGTAGGTGTATTTCGGAAGAGGCATTGTCAACTAAACTGTGGGGGTTCGCTGTATAGTTGCATGTATTGATTGGGTTTTGAGATGCGTGTGGAGAACTGCAGGCCTTGTATATGTAACTTATACCTATAGCTTTGCTCGTTCTAAACTTCCGAGGTGTTGCTTCGGATGGAATTATGGTGCTCACTGCCATGGGAGTTGCCGTCGGCACTATTGCCAAGCCGGTATTCCAAAAGCAGATAACCGCCATATCATGGTCGCTTGTTGAGCGGCACTTGACTACTCTCTCGCTCCTAGAAACCAAGTTAAATAGACATCTGTAGATAGTTTCTTTTCTTCCTTGACAGACGTTAGCTTCATTCCAAGACCTATATCACGACCCTCACGCCTCCCTTCAAGGAGAATCTCATCGCTGCTTCAAAATGACAACGGTAACAAGTGTGCTCTGCTGCAGCGTACAAAGTGGAGGATTAAGGGTCGAAGGCCCTAACCGTTATTTTTGCGATACATATGGTGTTGAGCATTCCCGCTTAACAGCCATGTGAATTTGCGTAGTTTAGCTGCCTTGAGTAACTGCTCCTTTTGCATTAACAGGAGAGCTTAAAAACTAGGCTGAAAGTAAATTGAGGTTTGCTAAAGCAAGATCCAAAAAGGGAACTTTCCTTGCTGCTCTCGGAGGAATTTTTGCTGCTGTTAACACCCTAGAAATCAAAAGTAAATAATCAACTTGATCCTGCCTTCATTCCAAGGGGAGTCATTACTACGAAGGCTAGGACCGTCAACTGCCCCGCGGTTGTGGGCCCGACTTGGGGGCCGGCACATCGCCTTTGCCACAGGTTGACAAGCGATGTCGACTCCTCTGAATAAGTGACAGCCGAGAATTTTAGTCCTTCAGCCTCTTTCATCTTGAAATTCAAAAACTAGACTCTTTCCCCTCTGCCAAGGATAGAATGCCGTATAGTAGCCTTATCGTTGACAATGTTTCCAGTCCCATGGGGATTCCCAATTTCCCCATAGAAGTCCCAAGACCCTTTTGGTCCCACTAATGGGACTATCGGTACTCCCAATTCCCTAAGTTCTTGGTATTTAGGGAGACGGATCGCTTGGGAAGTTGGTTTGCTTGGGCGGGAGTGGAGAACTCGGCAATGGCTTGCTCCATAGCTCACGCTCGAGTCAAAGACCTCGGCCCACGACCCAACCCACCCATTGGGCCCTATGATAACCCAACTTTGCATAAAATAGGGGCTCTGGTGCGTATAAAAGCTTGATCTGAATAAATTAGTTAACAACTGTTATTCACACCTATTCTCATTACTGTCAGGACTCACGATATAATTTAACCACAACGCTTAGAAAATTGAAAGAAATTCGTTTTTATATTGATAAAAGAAGGCAGTAACAGTATGTTCGCTAGATTTAGTTGGTTGTGACTAAGGGGCTTTGGCGTTAAGGTAACGTTGGGAAAATGTTATGCATAGTTGCGAAGCTATTTTCTAAATATAGAGTAGGATGTCTATGAAGGCTAGAAATATTGTAATCTCGAGACTCTATGACTTTGGCCTAGAGTTTCGTACGCCAATAGATCCGTGATACTTTCCTTCGTTTATAAAGTACAACCTTTCCTGTCCAAATATCTTTCATAGGTTGTGGTAATTGCTAGAGAAATAATTGGATACATAATATCATGGGTTGCAGTGTATTCGACCCGCAGAACCCTATCTTAACCGATTACCGGATGGATATGGGTTCTCTATGTCTAATTTTACTATGCACGAGTACGTCCGGAGTACCTACATTTTATTAGTGCGTCTGAAGCCTGTTTTTGCTAATCTACTAACTTAGTACGTGAGTTACCTACGCGAACCTATAAACCAAGATGGGCGTAGGTTCTGTGGGTTATCGTAACAAGCCAGGAATAAGAAATAGACCTTGCCGATCTCAAGCGCGGAGATCCTTCCCAAATTCCTTGCGGCCGGATTGGAAACGCCAAGGTCGCTTGCAGGATCCTGAATCCTATCTGCATGGTAAATCTAACAAACCGCTAAACCAAGATAGGTATGGCTCTCAAAAAGACATAAACGGTGTTGTACTCTAAAAAGTTTGCAGATGCAAATGCCTTATAATCCAACAGTCCCCCTACTAGGTAGTGATAGGCAAGCCGCTTTATGGTCGTCTATAATAACTAAAGCTGGGTGTCCCGATGATGGGCGAGGTTCTCGCCTGAGTAGTCTGGGCTGCAGTACAGGTAAAATGGCACTGGATGCTTCAAATGGAAGGATTTAGGAAGTGGAGTGAGTGCTGGAATAGTGCACGCCAGCGTACCTGCCTTCGGGGACCCTCAAAAACAGGGTCCGACTTGAGTGCGGGTACGGAGGGTCTGATTCCTGACCAAATACACTCGTCCATGTGCTTAGCTAGCCCTTGCCAAAATCCTTCAATATCAGTAGGGTTACTCATTACCTGTTGTATACCACGTTTGTATCCACTACCCCTTTTTTGAAGAACATCTACAGGTAAAGGATCTACTTGTTGCTACTACCTGGGGCCGCTCCTAGATATCAGTAGTGCCTGAATACGTCCCACCAAATATGTTGTTAATGGAATGGGTCTTATTTGGGGGCTAAATCTATTGCAGCTCTATTATCACGCGTCAGAGTGGTGTATACAGACTAACATATAAAGGCAGGCCGCTCCGTCCAAAATATTCGCAACAAATCTTCACACCAAATTTGCCGAGTGAAACGTTTCCAGCATGTGGGACTATTACAACAATAGAACATTTTGATTCACGGGGGGTTCCGGGTTCCTAGGCACCGTCCTAGTCCACCGTATCTTCAAAACGGTGCCAACTCTTGGTCATATCTATGTTCTTTGCAGGTCCGATGAGAAGTAAGTGACCGTAACTGGTTCCAAAAGTTCCATAATGATAAGGGCTAACATATCGAAAAGGACGCTGAAGGACAGATGGCAAAAATGGTTGGGCAGCGCATATGACAAAAGTTTGTGGGAAACAAACAAACTCGAAGTTGTGCAACTGGATGTCGGAAAGAACCACACACAGAGAGACTTTGAGAGCGGACTGGGTTCACTCAAAATCGACATCGTCATCCACACTGCCTCGACTATTAATCTCGGCAGTTCACTCGCCAAGATCAAAGATGTTATCATCGAGGGGAGTCTGGGGCTAGCAGCATATGCCTCCAGTCGCCAAGACATAGAGCGATTCGTCTATGTCTCCACGGCGTTCGCTAATGCCCACCTACAATCTGATGGCAACGCGGAGAAGTCCCTCTCTGTGCCTATCGACGAATCCATCTATCCACTCGGAGATGCACAGAGAGAGTTGGAGGATGTCCGAAACGGTATCGAATCTGACGATCTTGAAATTTTTCCCTGGGCATATACGTATGCGAAGCATCTTACCGAGCGTCTTCTTATGCAGAAGCTCGGCGACAAACTGCTCATTGTTCGTCCATCGATTATCGGCCCTGTCTTGCATTTCCCAGTAAAAGGATTCAGCGTTCCGAAATCCACGCCTTGTGTGACCCTTGCGGCGGGCGTTATGCTGCTCCCGACATGGCGCATGACCTTGGCATCGCGATTACCAGGAGCCGGCGCCGACGCAACTTGCAATGTCATACCAGTGGACGTGGGGCGGCTGATCGCCTTCTGGCCCATCTCGCTCTGGATCTGCTCAAGTGGTCCATGCCGTGGGTCAATCAGTGCCTTTCCAGCATTTGTGGGCATCAATTATGAAGCAACGACGATTTCTGTGGAAAGTCAAAGTTAAATGGATCAAGGAGGACTGGCACTCTGCAAGAATACATCCCGTCGGTCGTTTGTTCAAAATCCTAGGGACATCGTTCGACTTTTCAGACTACAATACCATTCAACTAGAGGAGAAGATGGGAAAGTCCGAACAATTCAATACCGTCATCTCAGAGAAAGGCGTTCAGATACCGGAACCAGGCAGTGGAAGCAGGCCACAGCTCTTCGTCTATGATGAACAAGATCTCATTGATTTTGGGACATGGAAGGTGTCGGTAAAAGAAAGTATGGAGATGTTCGCAAAGCGTGATTGGGCGGCCAGATTGGTTGTTCGGGTATTGTACTGATGGAATAGAGAAAGTCCTAATGCCAGAGGTGTTAGCAATGGTTCTGGCATCTGTTTTTATGCTATCACCTTGCCGCTCGTTTGTTAATTTCTTAATTTACCTCCTGTTCAAGTTTCTCGTTCTCAGTGGCTCGTTTTTTGCTCACATTAATTCCTCCTTTAACTACCTTCATTTGTCACATCTGTCTTCACGATCTCAGCGCACTGTTAAATTCACACCAAGAAAACTGAGTCTTGAAAAGAGAAAAAATTACACCAAACCAGGCTAATACAGGGTGTTAAAGATTGCACAAGAGTGCACGGAAGAGGATTTGGCCGTTTATAAGGAGTAGACGATCATTGATGGCCGTTTCAGCAGTCAGAGAGATAAGGAAGTAATTCAATTTCTATGGCAAGTTGAAGAACCCCGCTCTCACTAGGAATTACAAAGGGGAAGGTGAAGGTCAGCGACATATTCATATATGATTTATCTCCTGCTCCTAGATTCCGAGCAGAACGTAGGCCAGCGTTACCCAGTCTAAGCTTTCGGCATACCCCGGGGCGCCAAGGAATGTCATGTGACCCGCGGCGTAAGCGGACGTTGTACGCTGGCCTACGTTCTGCTTAATATCTAGGAGCAGGGTGAATTTATCTGCTTTTGTCCTTTCGAACTACGCCCTCCCATCACGTCTATGTACATTCATCCTGGCCCCTGTTATGATAAAGGGGGCCCTTCCATACTGTGGGTAAATTTTCGCCGTTTAGCCCCAAATCTCGCCCATGCACTTTCCCTGTTATGCTAAATAGGGCTGTTCCATACTGTGGGTAAATTTCGCGGTTTAGCTACCAATAACCTCTGGGTACTTTAATTTCTGGCCCCTGTTGGTATAAATGGGGCTGTTCTGAAATGGAGCTAAAATTAAATAATGTGCTTTACAGAGCAAGCGATAGTTAATAAAAGTCTCCGCTGGTTTTTTCTCGTGTCATAATAACAATCCATAGCAACCTCGATCCTGCCTACCACCTCACCTTCACTTCCCCTACGACAATAAAAAATGATGCTATTGAAACAATTCACTGCGGTCGTGCTTTTCGCTGTCGCTGAGACCCTCGCATCATCCCAATTTTCCGACCCACAAGACCCTTCAACCGTGATAATCAAGCAACCCGATGAAGGTGCTGCCAGTATTGTTAAAGCGTCATATGGCGATGATATCGACTATTGTTTTGCTCAGCTCTCCGGCGCCTGGGGCTGCTACGGTATAAGTGACTCTCCTCTCGGTAGATATCAGGATGGTGCCTGCGTCCCCCTTAGTAAGTTTGACAACTCTCGTTCCCTAGATAATGTGAGATTGACTAACTTGGCTATTCTAAAGAGGAGGGCAATACCTATGAAATCTCTACAATCTGCAACTCTGCCAAGATCTCTCTCTTCTATCATGACATTCCTGGTGAAGACGTTCAGTCTGTTGAACCAGTCGACGTCGATTTCAACTGGGTCCTCGACTCTCCAAAGGCCGGCTTCCTATACTTCGCCGATGCCAATAAGCGGGGGGAGATTTGGTCACCATTCCAACTACAAGACGCTCAAATGCCAACGAGCTACAAGCTGGCGCCGGCTACTCCTGTATATCTCTATTTTCCCCAGCCGAGCTCCCATTCTCAAGAGACTTGGTCTCACCATAATGACTTGGTATGAAATTCAATGCCTTATAATAACAGAATTAGTGGGCTTTCAGCGACTTTTCTTTTCTTAGTGTGTACGGAAATTAAATTCCCTCGAGTAGTTAGTCAATACGACATCCGGGCCCTTTGTTCTAGCTGACAGCAAAGGACGTCCTTTGGAGCGCTTCGTAGACTCAAAAGCTGGAAGCTAGAAACAAACACTTTTCTTTGATCCATTTCGTCTCACGCAAACCGATACTGAAGAAGAAATATTTCTACTAGGTAGGAACACTTCTAAATGAAACGATCACTGGATGTCTATTCTCTCCCCAACCATGCATTACATCCCAGTCCTAGAGCAAACCAAAACTAACACCGCGGCCATGAATCATCCAAAACCAACCCCGAATAATACCAGTAAGGTGAATGGCAAATAGTATCATACAAGAACATCATCAAAGAAAAGCCCCAGACTAAAATTCAGCGACAAGAGGCAAATCCCTCGAACTCCGGCCAACCCAAATCCGGAAGTTACCCTCGGTTGGCAAGACCCAGTTCTGGGAGCGAACGCTCCAGTAACTGAGATCCTTCCGGGACAGGGTCATATTGACAGTAGTGGTCTCGCCTGGCTGAAGAGAGACCTTCTCAAAGTTGCGCAGTACACGAACAGGAAAATCGATCGCTTCGCGAGTCCAGTGCTGCAAACTGCGATGTTCAACCACGTTATCCGGGAAGGAAACATAGACCTGGATGACTTCCTGGCCTGCTCGGGCACCGGTGTTGGTAACGTTCACGGTGAGCCCGAGAATTGGTTCGTACAAGAATGGATTGCCGCCCGGTCCGCCGCCTGCGGGGGATGGGGGCTGTTTGTCGTCGTAGCCCTCCGGGTAGGGATAATAGCCCGGGTCGGTTCCCGAGAGGGAGGTGAGATAGGGGTATATGTACTTGGGGATAACGTGGAGCCAGGGTGGTACCATGGTCATGATTGGAGATTCGGGTGGGTTGTCATAGACGGGCGGTTTGTATTCATCTTCAGGACGTGAAGGAGGAAGAGGTGATTTCGGCATCAGAGGTTCAATGTGAAGAGAAGTGAAGTTGAAGGTCGTGTAAGAAAGGCCGAAGCCAAACTCGAACCGCGGCGTGATGTTATATTGGTCGAAGTATCGGTAGTCGATGTACAAAGCTTGGTTGAGATTGACTTGTGGGACAGAATCGTGCGTTTCGTATAGCACCTGAGCGCCAGGACCATAGTCTTTCAGGCTGCGGCCGATGGTGTACGGCAGTCGGCCGCTAGCATCAACATCCCCAAACAGCACATCTCGCAAGGCATTGCCGCTTTCTTGGCCGGGTAGATTTGCGTAGACGATGGCGTGCACGCCGGGTAGATCAGCCCAGGACTCCATCACGACAGGACCGACGGCATGAACAATGACCACTGTTTTTCCCTGACCCCCGCCGCAGTTCTTGGCCACGGTTTCCACGAGATGAGCCCCGTTTTTCTGCAAGAGAAGATCATTTCGGTCTCCAGCAATGCCCTCGTACTCGATGAACCCCTCTCCGCCATCAGAGTTGGCGAAAACCAAACACAGATCCTGATGTATGAGATCTTCAATCGCAACGTTATTTGTCAGGTAACCTTGAGTATCAACTGTATTTGAGGGCCATGCTGATTCGAGAGCTTCCCACGGACTGACCAGGTAGGGGAAGTTGACCGCTCCGCTACCCCAACCCTCGGCGAGAGTGCCTTGGTTGCAGCCACGGTCTGGACAGGCATTGGGTCCTTTACCAGGACCTGCATCCTCCCCATAGATGCCGACTCGGTATTTACCACTGGGTTTGGAAATCTCGCGTGAGAGCGGCAACGTGGCATTGGTGTTCTTGAGAAGGACAGTGCCTTCAGCGGCCACCTTCCGGGCAATGTGAGAGTGCGCACGCTCTCCATGACCCTGCGCGTCAACAAAGTGATTGACCACGCCGGTTGTCTCATCCCCAGGACTCCCTTCATATAGATGACCAATACGGTCATGGGTCCATGATGAAAAGTTCGGACCACCTTCACCATCTGGCGGAGGATGCTTCCATGAGTCTTGGCGGAAGTGATACCAAGCCGCCACAATGCGACTGACCATGTCGTTCAATCGGTCGATGGGGACTGACGTGTTCAGCACTGCACGAGTCAACTGGCTGCCCCAGAGTGAGTTGCCATCGGCCCAAAAGAGACCATCGCCGGGCATACTCATGTCCAAGCCACCCAAGGCACTGTGGACGCCGGACCGTTGGGCGAGCCAGTCGGACTGCACGAAACCTTGAAAGCCTAGCTCATCCTTGAGAATACCGTTAAGAAGCTTGCTGTTTTCACAGGCATAGCTGTTGTTGACCATCTGATAGGAGCACATGACACTCGCCACGTCTGCACGCACGCTTTCGGCAAAAGGCCAGATGAAGACTTCGTGCAACGCGCGGTCATCAATGTTAGATGACAGGGCGGACGGAATGCCCCAGGCATTTGGTTGACGGAAGTGTTCTTGTTCATTCAGCACGAAGTGCTTTGCAGTCGCCATCACCCCGTTGTGCTGAATGCCTCGGATTGTCTCCGCTGCTGCAACTCCCTGCAGGACTGGATCAGACCCGAACCCCTCCCAGTTTCGACCGCCTGCCGGCATCATTCCCAAGGCCCCCATCGACGGGCCGAGAAGAACGTTCACGCCTTTCAACTTGGCTTCTAATCCCATTGCAAAGCCTCGGGCCCGCATAAGCTTACGGTTCCATGTTGCTCCGGTAGTGATACCTGCGGGAAATGCGGTGATGTTCTCGGCATATCGCAGGCCTAGTGGGCCATCCTGGAGACAAAGGGAAGGGAATTTCACCCGTTCTGCGGGACCTGTTGACAGTGTGGTTAGTATCTGGCCCAGCAGCCAGTATCGACAAGTGCATACCCGTATTTCCAACGCAAAGTCCCATCTGCCAGCCCGTCCCCGTCGTGATATTGACCTTCTCAAGAAGGGACATTTTCCCCACAAGATCTTCGGCTTTCGTATAACTTTTATGCCAATTTTCACTAGTCCCACCAAGCGGAGTTGGATACCAAGGTAGAGGCCGCTGGGAGACTGTCAGCATCTGAATTATTGGCCACAAAAGACCCAAAGGAACCTTACATATTCCGTTGCCACCTTTCCCCGACGGAACTTTGCTAGACCCTTCACCGCGAGCCACATGACCACCAGGCCAATCGTGACCAGGATAAAGACCTGCCACCACGATTGTACGCGGAAACATCTCCTCCAGACAGAGCCACAGTAACCACGCTTGATACGCTTCTGCCTCTCCCATTTGTCTCGGTCACCCTTGTCCAATGGGACACCATGTCCGTCATCTTCGCCGTCGCTAAGAAAGAGTGATGTATCCAGCGAGTCTGCATCTTCAAGGTCTGTATTGAATGAATCTGACAGCGCATTCCGCTCCGACTTGAGAAGTCGTTCGATGCGATCGCCCACATTGCGTTGTCCGCGAGGTACGTCAATGAAATGAGCTTCTTCGTCTGCTGCCGCAGGTGTCTGTTGGCTTGACGATCGCGCATTGGAAGAAAGCTGTTTCTTGTTCGGCAATAGTTTCACATTAGCGTCGTCATCGTTCGAGGATTCGTCTCCGCTGGCCGGTGTTGTATCCGCGTTATCGCCACGAGTTCCATCGTCTTCGGCATGATGTTGAGGATGGAAGCGGTCGTCTGCTACTGCTTCAGGATCCTCGTCAGACGGAGTATCTTGTAGCGATGTATAACCCTTGCTGCGCGACTGGGGCCATCGGGACTTTTTTCGCGGGGAGGATGATCCGCCGCTCGAGGACCAGGGCCCGGCCGCATTGGCAGGTGGAGAAGCCATCGCTCATCGCAAATGGGCTGAACGCATTCTATCAGCAATTGCAAAGGGGCCGCACGAGAACAGCGGTGGGCACGTTGCGAAAGAAAAGGTGATGAAGAAAGATGAGAGTGCAGATCTGGCCAAGCCCAGGGGAGCTGACGGGCGTGCACGGACCTCTCACTGCTTGCGGCGATCATTGCGTCTCCATGAAGTATACGAGTTACGAGCAGAGGAACAGAGAAGTAATAAACACAACTTTTGCGGTTCAACCGATGACTCTACTATCGGAATGATGATGCAGGATCCAAGAGAAGAAGCTATATATATCAAATCATAAAACAACAGACCCAAACGCCGTCTATCAATTTCCATGCAGTTCCCACGAAGTATAGAAGAATCACATCATACGGACTCGTCATCATGCAAGGATATCACGAAAAGAAAATGAACCAGAAAATTATTATCGTGTGACGGACAAGAAAATCTACGCCTCATCGTCCGTATCGACGGGCTTCGGGGTGCCCTTGGGCGAGTTCAACCATTCAATGTGCCGCAGACGACGGCGGACCTCACGGTCCTTGAGCTGGGCGCGGGTCATCTTCTTCTTCTTCTTGGCGCGGAACTTGAGCTCGCCAGTATCCTCGGCGCCGGAGTTGACGGCCGACGCAGCAGCGCTGGTGTTGGCAGAGGCGGCCGCAGGAGTGCCGGGGGCAGAAGGCGAGTTGGTGGCGCTGTCCTCGAAGCGATCGAGAGACACCGCCGTGTTGGTACGGCTGACAATGCGTCCATCGGCGATGTGCAGCTGCTCCGGGCAGAGGGCGCCCACGAACTCCTCGTTGTGAGAGATCATGACCACACCGCCCTTGAAGTCACGGATGGCAACAGCCAGGCCACCGAGTGAGTCACGGTCCAAGAAATTGGTCGGCTCGTCCAGAACCAGCAGATGCGGGTTGTTCCACATGGCGCCGGCCAGCACAACCTTCACCTTCTGTCCACCGGACAGACCGGAGATCTCATTGTGGTTGGCGATCTCGGGGTCCAGACCAACATCCTCAAAGTGCTTGGAGATGGTCTTGGGGTCGAGGACGCGGAAGCCCAAGCCTTCGCGGGACGCCTCGTGGTCGTCAAACTCTTGGACCATCTTGAAGAATCCCCGTTCCAAGAGCGTCTCACGGGA